TAAAGGCAGTCCCCGGGTTACGTACAAGATAGGGACTGTAGGTTTGTTCTTAAGTTGAATCTGTATGTAAGTCAGAACTGGAGTCCAGATTCAGCCGCTGTTGAAACTGATCAGTTTCAGCAGCGGCTGAATCTGGAGGCCAGTTCCGACTTACATACAGATTCAACTTAAGAACAAACCTACAGTCCCTATCTTGTACGTAACCCGGGGACTGCCTGTATTCTATAGTCCCAAGGAGCCGGGCTAGCAGCCAGTGCACTCCGGCCCCACTCCGGAGGAGTCTCCTGCCACTCTGCACAGGGTACCAGGCGGGAGTTGGACTGCGAGGAGAGCCAGTTCAAAAACCAGCTCCTTTCACAGACCAGCTGCCTGTTGCCCTGTGCTGCTGCCTCTGATATAGAGGCAACAGTGCAGGGTGGCAGCAGCCCCTATGAGGGGAGGAGAGGGAAATGCCTGTAGTCTATAGCATTAACCTATAAGCTTTTGCTTATCAGATAATCAGTTAATCGACTATTACATCTCTATCTACAATTGGAGTAGTATCTTTGCTGGTGAATGCAGAATTGGGTCTGTCTGTCTGTGTCTGTCTATATAAGGGGTTTTTGCTCTATAGTAGTAGAAACAAAGAGAACTTATTCCACACCAACACAAATATACCATGTGATCAATTCTTCAGTAAATAGTTGAGTTCAAATTTGCTTCAAGCTGTGGCTAACAGACCCCACTCCTTTCTGATAATTTTTTAAAATAATGGAACAAAATAATTTTTTACATCTTTTCACTATGAAGTTGGGCATTCTGCAGTCAGGGATGTAATTACTGTATATATGCAATCAAAATCTGAATTTTTTGGTAAAAAATGATGCAGTAAAGAGCGGGGATCATTGCATTTTACTAATTTTTTTTTTTAATTTGGGGGTTTGGCAAACTTCAGTTCCCAGGCCAGCAGGACAAACCGCTAGCATGCTGTGACATTTTATGTACCTGGATTGTCTGCAAGCACAGATCTCCTCAGCTCCCGTTGGCTTCTGTTTGCTGTTCCCAGCCAATGGAAATTGCAGGAAGTGGCATGTGCTCCTATTGGCTAGAAATGGTGACTCTCAGACACTGGGAGCTACAAGACTCCATGTCTGCAGATGTTCCAGATAAACAAAACATCCCAACGTGTGAGTGGCTTCTGCTGATGAGCTGGGACCAGAAGTTTGCAAACTGCTAATATAGATTCGGCTTATGAAAGGGTGATTGTGATTTTTAGATTCTTTTTAACTTGGGGCAGGGGTTCAGCTTATGAACAAAGAGGCTTATGATCAAGTATCTATGGTAGTTTGTGAATTTTTAACTTCCACGCACACAGACTTCACAGCCAGATGTAAATATTTGCAAAGCCAGTGGTAGAGTAAAGCAGATTTGAATGGCTCAATTAATCTAGGTTTTGAGGTATTTGAAGTTGCCTTCAAATTTCCAGCTTTACTGGTTTTCATGTCTCAAAATTACATGACCAGCTCTGGTTAATTTGCAGTTGATTTGGTCATATTTAGGTTTGATCCGACCTGACCCTCGGACAGTCTGTAAGTTATCTTCTTTAAATAGGTGCACAATATCTCAAAATGATGCATAAAAGGTCTGCAGGAGAAAAATATCCATAATGCCCATAATCAATGTTCCCTCATCTAATTTGTATATCCATGTGTAAAATGAGGTTTTTATGTGCACTGAGGCGTATGTAGATGTGCATCATCAGCATAAATACATTCTGCTAGCCGTGGGCACCCTGCTGATCACCTAGGCGGCATTTGAATCTCTCCTGGATGGCCGCCCAAATCCAATTTACAGTAAACACTGCCCATAATATATCTTTCCTGAACTGATCTTCCATAGCTATAAATTACCATTTATAGAATAAAAGTAAATATTCTCTTTGGAGTTCATAAATTTATTTCAAACTTCAAAAATATTTCTGCCCAATGTTATCTCCGGTAAAGCAAACAGTTAATGGGCAGTTTTCCATAAAAATGGTCCTTGATTAATTTAGTACTAATTTTATAATCTTTTGTTTTGTATTTTAACAAGTTGTATGAATGGATAAGTTCTAATGAAAATTGGGAAGCAAATTACCAAGAAACAAACTAAAAAGCAAAGGTTCATTTAACTACTTCACACCTCTCAGCACTTGATGAAATATGTCAGTGCTATTTATAACTATCCTATTTATATCTGTCCTTCACTAACGATTTCAGAAGAATAATATGCATCACAGCTCTGAGCCAATGTCCATGGAAGGCAATGGGAAAGTTCCACTAGCTTTAGTCAATAAGCATTGGATCAGGCCCCAAGAAATACTGAACATACCAAGTTTCTGCTCATGCATGAACCACCATGTTATCCTTAACAGTGCTCTACATATCTGGATGCTTTAGAAAAGAAATCATCCGTGCTTTGTGTAAAGATATGCTATTTCATCAGGTAAGAATTTTTTACATACTATATCTGTGAAAGCAAATAAGTAATACAATGAAATGCTATAGCTACTGTTCAAGTCAGTTATGTGATTCAACAAATAAAAGTGACTTTGCATTTCTAAAGTTAGCATTCAAAAGAGGAATGGGATTCAGTGGCCTTCTGCTTAAGAAAAACATTAAGGATCAATGAACAATGGCCAGATGTCTTGTATAAGTACATTAAAATCAATGGATGAAATCAGCTCCATTTTCTTGGTGCATGATTATGAGCCTGATCCTCCAAAAACCTAAGCACCTCAACTTGTATTGACGTCACTGAAAGTTGAGAGTGACTAGCAATTGGTTGAATGGTGCCCTATGTTACCATACAGTTTTCTCTTTCAAATAAAGCAATGCTGGATATTGAGACTGTGTCAGTATGAAAAACAACTCTCCATTGCATTTAATAGGGAGCTCCACTTAATCAATTGCAGTGCTGCCCTTGGAAATTTATTTCCTTTTCCTTCTGTTACATTTAATTTAATGGTTGCTATGTTGGTTTAAAGATTTTTTTTTTAAATTAAAGAATAAGCATTTGACAAAAGTGTTTGCATAGGACTAATGCTTTCATCAGTACTTAGACCAGGAAATAACTGATAGATGCTGGCAAATGTTGGCTTTTTAATAGTGTCCATTTTATTACTTCAAAAAGAGGTGCAGAATAATTTGGTACTTACAAGACATTATGGAGTACATTTTCAAATTGCGCACATGTAAAATTAACTGATGCACACACCTACAGGAGTGTACTCATGTTCATTTATTAGAGAAAACCCAGGTATTGTATGTATGTGGCTTACAAGTCAAATAAGCTGAATGGAAACATGAGATGGAATATCATTCACAAGCCATTGTTTCTCAGGAAATACCTTGTACTTGTTAAGGTAAGCTATATTATCTATAACATTTCCTAGTTCTGGCTTTGTAGACCCGGGTGGCTGAACTGGAGGTGTTAAGGGAGTTAGAGAAGTACATGGATGAGACTTTTCAGGAAAAAGTAGAGTGATTACACCTCTAATCAGACAGCCTCTGTACTCTTGAGGAGGGTGAAAGTCTCAGGGAAGGAGAACATCCAACCAGAAATGATACCATAGTTGGGACCCTCCTTCCAGATGATATGGTATCCTCTTCTACTGAAAATACTTGCGGGGGGAGGGAACACCAGCTATTAGGAAAAGACAGCTGTTACTAATGGGGGATCTGATCATTAGAAACATAGTGGAGGGTCAGTGATCATCGTGAAAACCACATGGTGGCTTGCTTGGTACGAAGATTGTGGATCTTGTGATAATCGTGAAAACCACATGGTGACTTGCTTGCTTGGTACGAAGATTGTGGATCTCTTGAGACATCTAGGTAAATGTATGTGTAGCGCTGGGAAAGATCTGATGGTCATGGTACATGTAGATACCAACGACACAGGAAAGGATAGAAGAGAGGTCCTGCAGGTTAAATTTAGGCTACTAGGTAAGAGATTGAAATCCAGGACCTCCGTGGTAGCATTCTCTGAAATGCTAGCAGTTTTCATGTGCAGGGCCAAACAGACAGGCAGAGTGTCAAAGCATGGATGAGATGATGGTTTAGGGAGGTGGGATTTACACTTATTAGAAACTGGGGAAACTTTTGGGAAAGGGGGAGCCTATACAGGAAGGATGGGCTCCACCTAACCCAAAATGGAACCAGATTCCTGGCACTCGCAATTAAAAGATCCTAGAGAAGTTTTTAAACTAAGGGCTGGAGGAAAGCCAACAGGTGTAGAGGAGCATATGGCTCAGACAAAGACATCCCTTAGGGCTGTGGTCACCAACCCATCAATCGCGATCGACTGGTCAAAAATGTTGGGAATCAATAAGAAAGGGATATAGAATAAAATAGATAATATATTATTGCTTCTATATAAATCCATGGTACACATCTTGAATATTGTATGGAAATGTGGTTGCCTCATCTAAAAAAAAAAAGGTTTATTGGCATTGGAAAAAGTTCAGAAAAGGGCAACAAAAAAGATTAGGCATATGGAATGGCTGCCACATGGTGAGAGATTAATAAGATTGGTACTTTTCAGTGTGGAAAAGATGACTAAGGGAGGATATGGTAGAGATATGTAGACTGACTGGTGTGAAGAAAGTGAATAAAGAAGAGTTAGTTATGCTTTCCCATAACACAATAACTAAGGGCAACCAAATGAAATTAATAGACAGCAGATTTAAAACAAAACAAAAGGAAGTACTTCCTCACACTATAGACAGACAACCTGTGGAAATCCTTGCCAGAGCATGTTGTGAAGGCCAAGACAATAACAGGGTTCAAAAAAAGAGCTATATAAATTCATGGAGGATAGGTCCATCAATGACTATTAGCCAGGATGGGCAGGGATGGTGTCTCTAGGCTCTGTTTGCCAGAAATTGGGAATGGGTGACCAAATAGATTACTTGATGATTACCTGTTCTGTTCATTCCCTCTAGGGCACTTGGCATTGGCCACTGTCAGAAAACAGAGTATCGGGCTACATGGACCTTTGATCTGACTCTGTATGGTCATTCTTATGTTTTTACGACAGAGTTGGTAGTGTCAATCCAAGTGTTTGATTCTTGTATTATAAACTCTGTCTCTCTGGATAGAACAGTGTACTCTGAAGCCAAATTTAAAATCTGAGTGACCAAAGGAGAATATAAGTAATAAAACAGACTGGATGTTTGCCTTGTAGCATTACTGGTGTTTCAATTACAAAAATAATCAGCAAACTTCTTTATTTTATTATTATATTTTCCATTCTCAATAGGTATTGGATAACAGAGTTCTGGATCATGTTCAAAATGGATTCTAGTCTAACTAAAACCATGGAGGAATTTCAGAAATTGGTGAGAGTTAATGGTGAGGAGTTACACTGTCATCTAATTGACACAACTCAAATGTGAGTGTCAACGTTTTAATATGTTTGGAAAACAAAACAATATTGCCATCTCACATCCCTAAAATGATAGCAATCAATCTCCAACATCTAGACAAGGAATATTTCCATGTGCCCTATATTAACAATGTACAAAAAAAATCTGTTTACTAAGGGTGATGTTTACCTTGTGCAGAGATCCAGCATGTGATAATTTAAGTCCCATTAGTGCTCTCAAAATATGTCTTAAGTTTAACTTAATTGTTGCTGATATCTGATGCTGATCTTCTAAACTGATCAGTTTCAGCAGCGGCTGAATCTGGAGGCCAGTTCCGACTTACATACAGATTCAACTTAAGAACAAACCTACAGTCCCTATCTTGTACGTAACCCGGGGACTGCCTGTATTCTATAGTCCCAAGGAGCCGGGCTAGCAGCCAGTGCACTCCGGCCCCACTCCGGAGGAGTCTCCTGCCACTCTGCACAGGGTACCAGGCGGGAGTTGGACTGCGAGGAGAGCCAGTTCAAAAACCAGCTCCTTTCACAGACCAGCTGCCTGTTGCCCTGTGCTGCTGCCTCTGATATAGAGGCAACAGTGCAGGGTGGCAGCAGCCCCTATGAGGGGAGGAGAGGGAAATGCCTGTAGTCTATAGCATTAACCTATAAGCTTTTGCTTATCAGATAATCAGTTAATCGACTATTACATCTCTATCTACAATTGGAGTAGTATCTTTGCTGGTGAATGCAGAATTGGGTCTGTCTGTCTGTGTCTGTCTATATAAGGGGTTTTTGCTCTATAGTAGTAGAAACAAAGAGAACTTATTCCACACCAACACAAATATACCATGTGATCAATTCTTCAGTAAATAGTTGAGTTCAAATTTGCTTCAAGCTGTGGCTAACAGACCCCACTCCTTTCTGATAATTTTTTAAAATAATGGAACAAAATAATTTTTTACATCTTTTCACTATGAAGTTGGGCATTCTGCAGTCAGGGATGTAATTACTGTATATATGCAATCAAAATCTGAATTTTTTGGTAAAAAATGATGCAGTAAAGAGCGGGGATCATTGCATTTTACTAATTTTTTTTTTTAATTTGGGGGTTTGGCAAACTTCAGTTCCCAGGCCAGCAGGACAAACCGCTAGCATGCTGTGACATTTTATGTACCTGGATTGTCTGCAAGCACAGATCTCCTCAGCTCCCGTTGGCTTCTGTTTGCTGTTCCCAGCCAATGGAAATTGCAGGAAGTGGCATGTGCTCCTATTGGCTAGAAATGGTGACTCTCAGACACTGGGAGCTACAAGACTCCATGTCTGCAGATGTTCCAGATAAACAAAACATCCCAACGTGTGAGTGGCTTCTGCTGATGAGCTGGGACCAGAAGTTTGCAAACTGCTAATATAGATTCGGCTTATGAAAGGGTGATTGTGATTTTTAGATTCTTTTTAACTTGGGGTAGGGGTTCAGCTTATGAACAAAGAGGCTTATGATCAAGTATCTATGGTAGTTTGAGAATTTTTAACTTCCACGCACACAGACTTCACAGCCAGATGTAAATATTTGCAAAGCCAGTGGTAGAGTAAAGCAGATTTGAATGGCTCAATTAATCTAGGTTTTGAGGTATTTGAAGTTGCCTTCAAATTTCCAGCTTTACTGGTTTTCATGTCTCAAAATTACATGACCAGCTCTGGTTAATTTGCAGTTGATTTGGTCATATTTAGGTTTGATCCGACCTGACCCTCGGACAGTCTGTAAGTTATCTTCTTTAAATAGGTGCACAATATCTCAAAATGATGCATAAAAGGTCTGCAGGAGAAAAATATCCATAATGCCCATAATCAATGTTCCCTCATCTAATTTGTATATCCATGTGTAAAATGAGGTTTTTATGTGCACTGAGGCGTATGTAGATGTGCATCATCAGCATAAATACATTCTGCTAGCCGTGGGCACCCTGCTGATCACCTAGGCGGCATTTGAATCTCTCCTGGATGGCCGCCCAAATCCAATTTACAGTAAACACTGCCCATAATATATCTTTCCTGAACTGATCTTCCATAGCTATAAATTACCATTTATAGAATAAAAGTAAATATTCTCTTTGGAGTTCATAAATTTATTTCAAACTTCAAAAATATTTCTGCCCAATGTTATCTCCGGTAAAGCAAACAGTTAATGGGCAGTTTTCCATAAAAATGGTCCTTGATTAATTTAGTACTAATTTTATAATCTTTTGTTTTGTATTTTAACAAGTTGTATGAATGGATAAGTTCTAATGAAAATTGGGAAGCAAATTACCAAGAAACAAACTAAAAAGCAAAGGTTCATTTAACTACTTCACACCTCTCAGCACTTGATGAAATATGTCAGTGCTATTTATAACTATCCTATTTATATCTGTCCTTCACTAACGATTTCAGAAGAATAATATGCATCACAGCTCTGAGCCAATGTCCATGGAAGGCAATGGGAAAGTTCCACTAGCTTTAGTCAATAAGCATTGGATCAGGCCCCAAGAAATACTGAACATACCAAGTTTCTGCTCATGCATGAACCACCATGTTATCCTTAACAGTGCTCTACATATCTGGATGCTTTAGAAAAGAAATCATCCGTGCTTTGTGTAAAGATATGCTATTTCATCAGGTAAGAATTTTTTACATACTATATCTGTGAAAGCAAATAAGTAATACAATGAAATGCTATAGCTACTGTTCAAGTCAGTTATGTGATTCAACAAATAAAAGTGACTTTGCATTTCTAAAGTTAGCATTCAAAAGAGGAATGGGATTCAGTGGCCTTCTGCTTAAGAAAAACATTAAGGATCAATGAACAATGGCCAGATGTCTTGTATAAATACATTAAAATCAATGGATGAAATCAGCTCCATTTTCTTGGTGCATGATTATGAGCCTGATCCTCCAAAAACCTAAGCACCTCAACTTGTATTGACGTCACTGAAAGTTGAGAGTGACTAGCAATTGGTTGGATGGTGCCCTATGCTACCATACAGTTTTCTCTTTCAAATAAAGCAATGCTGGATATTGAGACTGTGTCAGTATGAAACACAACTCTCCATTGCATTTAATAGGGAGCTCCACTTAATCAATTGCAGTGCTGCCCTTGGAAATTTATTTCCTTTTCCTTCTGTTACATTTAATTTAATGGTTGCTATGTTGGTTTAAAGATTTTTTTTTTAAATTAAAGAATAAGCATTTGACAAAAGTGTTTGCATAGGACTAATGCTTTCATCAGTACTTAGACCAGGAAATAACTGATAGATGCTGGCAAATGTTGGCTTTTTAATAGTGTCCATTTTATTACTTCAAAAAGAGGTGCAGAATAATTTGGTACTTACAAGACATTATGGAGTACATTTTCAAATTGCGCACATGTAAAATTAACTGATGCACACACCTACAGGAGTGTACTCATGTTCATTTATTAGAGAAAACCCAGGTATTGTATGTATGTGGCTTACAAGTCAAATAAGCTGAATGGAAACATGAGATGGAATATCATTCACAAGCCATTGTTTCTCAGGAAATACCTTGTACTTGTTAAGGTAAGCTATATTATCTATAACATTTCCTAGTTCTGGCTTTGTAGACCCGGGTGGCTGAACTGGAGGTGTTAAGGGAGTTAGAGAAGTACATGGATGAGACTTTTCAGGAAAAAGTAGAGCGATTCCACCTCTAATCAGACAGCCTCTGTACTCTTGAGGAGGGTGAAAGTCTCAGGGAAGGAGAACATCCAACCAGAAATGATACCATAGTTGGGACCCTCCTTCCAGATGATATGGTATCCTCTTCTACTGAAAATACTTGCGGGGGGAGGGAACACCAGTTATTAGGAAAAGACAGCTGTTACTAATGGGGGATCTGATCATTAGAAACATAGTGGAGGGTCTGTGATAATCGTGAAAACCACATGGTGACTTGCTTGCTTGGTACGAAGATTGTGGATCTCTTGAGACATCTAGGTAAATGTATGTGTAGCGCTGGGAAAGATCTGATGGTCATGGTACATGTAGATACCAACGACACAGGAAAGGATAGAAGAGAGGTCCTGCAGGTTAAATTTAGGCTACTAGGTAAGAGATTGAAATCCAGGACCTCCGTGGTAGCATTCTCTGAAATGCTAGCAGTTTTCATGTGCAGGGCCAAACAGACAGGCAGAGTGTCAAAGCATGGATGAGATGATGGTTTAGGGAGGTGGGATTTACATTTATTAGAAACTGGAGAAACTTTTGGGAAAGGGGGAGCCTATACAGGAAGGATGGGCTCCACCTAACCCAAAATGGAACCAGATTCCTGGCACTCGCAATTAAAAGATCCTAGAGAAGTTTTTAAACTAAGGGCTGGAGGAAAGCCAACAGGTGTAGAGGAGCATATGGCTCAGACAAAGACATCCCTTAGGGCTGTGGTCACCAACCCATCAATCGCGATCGACTGGTCAAAAATGTTGGGAATCAATAAGAAAGGGATATAGAATAAAATAGATAATATATTATTGCTTCTATATAAATCCATGGTACACATCTTGAATATTGTATGGAAATGTGGTTGCCTCATCTAAAAAAAAAAAAAGGTTTATTGGCATTGGAAAAAGTTCAGAAAAGGGCAACAAAAAAGATTAGGCATATGGAATGGCTGCCACATGGTGAGAGATTAATAAGATTGGTACTTTTCAGTGTGGAAAAGATGACTAAGGGAGGATATGGTAGAGATATGTAGACTGACTGGTGTGAAGAAAGTGAATAAAGAAGAGTTAGTTATGCTTTCCCATAACACAATAACTAAGGGCAACCAAATGAAATTAATAGACAGCAGATTTAAAACAAAACAAAAGGAAGTACTTCCTCACACTATAGACAGACAACCTGTGGAAATCCTTGCCAGAGCATGTTGTGAAGGCCAAGACAATAACAGGGTTCAAAAAAAGAGCTATATAAATTCATGGAGGATAGGTCCATCAATGACTATTAGCCAGGATGGGCAGGGATGGTGTCTCTAGGCTCTGTTTGCCAGAAATTGGGAATGGGTGACCAAATAGATTACTTGATGATTACCTGTTCTGTTCATTCCCTCTAGGGCACTTGGCATTGGCCACTGTCAGAAAACAGAGTATCGGGCTACATGGACCTTTGATCTGACTCTGTATGGTCATTCTTATGTTTTTACGACAGAGTTGGTAGTGTCAATCCAAGTGTTTGATTCTTGTATTATAAACTCTGTCTCTCTGGATAGAACAGTGTACTCTGAAGCCAAATTTAAAATCTGAGTGACCAAAGGAGAATATAAGTAATAAAACAGACTGGATGTTTGCCTTGTAGCATTACTGGTGTTTCAATTACAAAAATAATCAGCAAACTTCTTTATTTTATTATTATATTTTCCATTCTCAATAGGTATTGGATAACAGAGTTCTGGATCATGTTCAAAATGGATTCTAGTCTAACTAAAACCATGGAGGAATTTCAGAAATTGGTGAGAGTTAATGGTGAGGAGTTACACTGTCATCTAATTGACACAACTCAAATGTGAGTGTCAACGTTTTAATATGTTTGGAAAACAAAACAATATTGCCATCTCACATCCCTAAAATGATAGCAATCAATCTCCAACATCTAGACAAGGAATATTTCCATGTGCCCTATATTAACAATGTACAAAAAAAATCTGTTTACTAAGGGTGATGTTTACCTTGTGCAGAGATCCAGCATGTGATAATTTAAGTCCCATTAGTGCTCTCAAAATATGTCTTAAGTTTAACTTAATTGTTGCTGATATCTGATGCTGATCTTCTGAAAGGGTGAACTTCATTTGAAGGAACACAGAAGACTAAGGGAGGAAAGGTTTGAAAACACTTAATTCCTTGAAAGGGCAGCCAGAAAGGAGAACATACTTTTACTCGGAGTGTACATGAGATAAAACAGTGTACTTTTTTTAAAGCCAAAGTTCAGATTTCTGGGGAGACAATATAAAGTTCATTTCATTATCTCTAATTCAGGGATAAGCAATAAGGGCATTTTGCCAGGGTATCTGGACTATGGGAGCTGTGAGAAGTAGAGTCCCTGTCTGTGCCACTTCCTGCTGCTCCCATTGGCTGGAAATGGCAATCCGCAGCTGTGAACGGCTGTATCTACAGATGCACAGGTAAATAAAGGGGTTAGCCTTGGCGAACCACATCTGGGCCACAAGCTGCTTATTGCCTACCCCGGTCTAATTCTAAATGTTATTTTATATTTTTTTTCTGGTCTTACTATCTGCTCAAGATTAGAGCCCAGAACACCTAGAAAAATAAAGTGCACAGGAGCTGTATCTCACAGGGCTCTCTCCTGAGAAGAGATTTGTCCCATTGTTAAATAAGAGTGAGAAACAGGCAGCAGAATTTGATCCACAAGTCATAGCTGTTCATTGTGAATAGACTTCTATATGAGATTTAGTTGAGCTGCCCAGGAAGACAATAAGGGGCAATAAGAAGGTATAATGGACTGATCAAGACCTGTTGCCACTGGAATCAGAGGCCATTGACTTTAATGGGACTGAGCCTTGATCCAATGGATACAGCAAACGGGAGAGTTAGACACAGCAATATTGAGGAGATGTCACTATGACTGTATTCTGTTTCATACTGTATTTTTACTATCTTTTAAAGGGTACTTTACAAATGCATGCTAAAAACATTCAGCAGGGCTCTTGTCATAATCTCTTTTATTGGACCACCTTCCAGTAAAAGATATTACCTCACACACCTTGTCCCTCTAATATCTGGGACCAATATGGCTGCAACTACCATGCATATGTCATTTTATCCATCCTTCATAATGAGTATAAAGAAATTGCTCTTTTGAAATTCAAATCATGCATTGGTTTTCATTTGCAATTAATCATGCAACTGATGCCACCAGGTTTTGGGGAAATGTAAATTAATTTTTCTGCAGAAAGCAACCTCACTTAGTGTACATTTTTTTTTTCATAAAAAGAAATTCCCGGGATTGGTCCCGAAAACTTACACAGCGGATAAAACCCAACACCAGTAAGAAAAGGAAAGTCTCGCTTCTCTTTGATCATCTAGAACCAGAAGAGCTATCAGACCACCTCACCTATCTTGAATTTAAGTCCTTCCGAAGAATATCAGTAAGTGATCAGTTTTTGTCCAGGAGAAACAAAACAATTAACTTTCTCTGCATGCGGTTAGATTCACTTCCATCCTGATCCTTTGTTTTTGTCAAGAAGCTTTTGTTTTTGTCAAGAAATGTGTGCGTTGGGTTGGGAGAGCTAGCACTGGATGGAGAGGACAGACAGTTTGACCCTCCTTGTATTCAAAGAATAGGTTGGTTCAGGAAGGTGAGGTTGAAGAACAGTGTTTAAAGTGATAGAAGTGGTATAGAGGGTTAGGGAGACTGGAGAATGGAGAGAGCAAAGCACTGTAGGAGGGATACAGACCTACTATGACAGCAGAGAGTCATTGCAACACTTCTTCACAAGGGTTCCTGGACGATCCTGAAATACTGAAGCAACACTTCGTTTTAAACAGGCCAATTGGAGCTGCCCTGTCTTTTTTTTCCCAAGTTTGTCACAACATTAAAGAAAAGGCCAGTATTGTTTGATACTCCTTAGCTGTCAAACAAAAGAATGCATAGCAGATTCAAAACAGCCAGGAGGGGCGGAGTGTTTGTGGGTACAGTTTATCCTTTCCCTGCACCCGAGATAAGGTGCACAGCTAAAAGAACAAAGAGACTCATTGTTTGGATGGTAGCACTAGAAACTGAAGTGTAAATTTTGCAGTTAGAGGGATGTTGAACAGGTTGCAAAAAAATCTCTCCTAGTCATGCACTTTATTTTAAGCTTCAGATACATGACTCCTCATATGTTATGTTAAAATTTAACAGCCTTGGGACTGAAGTCATGCATTTACGCATAGGGTCCTTCCCGTAGGCAGTAATAATACTTAATGCTTATATAATGCTTAACATTTTCAAAGCTCTCTGCAGACACTAATTAATGATTAATGGGAATAACAAGTATGATGCACAGTCACAGCCTTGGTTCCTTCATAGTTTTCAGCCAGTTTCTTAGCTGTGTGATATGAACTTAAAATTTAGTTCACTGGAACCTTGGTAAAGAAGAGAGAGTGCTTTGTCCATTAAACAATATAGTTCTTTAACTCCTCGCAGAATACCTCTCTACTATTGTAGCTTAAGATCTGTCACTCTTATGGGAGAGAGTATGCAGATTAGATGATGTAATGCTAACAGGAGTATAATTATTCATAGATTCATTCTAACGCTAGAAGTTACCATCAGATCATTAATGTTTATCTAGTATTTCCTGTATTGTGTCCAATAGCCTGTGTCTGACCATGGCGTAACTTCCAAAAAGGCATTCAGTCTAGAGAGAGAGAGAGCGAATGAGAGAGAATGAGAATCCACCACTTGTCTTGGTAGTTTGTGCCAGAAGTTAAATTACGTTTGATTTTTTTTCACTTACCCACCCACCAACTTTTTCTTATTTAATTTGTTTGGCTTTCACTTCTAGTCATTCTATTCAAATGTGTTAATGCCCATGTTTAATTCTCTGAGCATGTCCAGTTATCATGGCAAAAGGTGCTGGTGTTAAGAACAATTGGAGTTGTGATGGAATGGTGGGATAACCCATGTGTGTGTTTGCAGGGTGTGATGATCTCTGTAGGTCTTAAATATTGAAATAGCCAAACCATTTGAATTTCAGGAGAGAGATAGAATGAGACATTTTTTAAGATTGCATACTGGTAAACTCTGTTTAACAGTGTTACAAGAATTGGGGTGGTTTCCATTTCAGAAAAAAAAAAAACCATTTCACGCTCTCTGAAGCAAGTACTCAGAAATCAGGTCTATGAGATTTCACTTGCTGAATGCCCCCAGCATTTGGGGGGACAATTTTGCCATTTGAATTCCACTCCTATATAGTTGTGGGATGCAACCTTGTAACAGGATGGTTAATAGATTCCCAATCATAATTATCTAGCGAAATACCAAGATGGGCTCTTGAATGACTGATACTGAAATGCTCCAAGCTGAAAACATCATTGCTCCAGTGCTACAGTCTAGAGCAAGAACAAAATGACCTTAGAACTCAGATGTCCCAGATGGGCATTTCTGAATCTAAGCTGTTTTCTGTTATTTCATTCAGCCTTTGACTTGTTCAGTTTGGGTCAGAGGAACTGTGTTTGTTCTTAAGACAAATGCAAGTCACAGATGAAAAGGCATGTTTTACTTTGAATGAAATTAACGTTTATTTGCTCTGTGCAAAATTACTTTCCATTCCAACTTTGTTAAATAACCTTGACGATAAATGCAGACACTAACATTCTTCTGATGTCTTGTCTAAGACATATTTAAAAATGTGCCCAACATTTATAGGGAAACCTTCTGGCCTTTTCCAGGAAGAACTACTTCTGGTAACCAAGATAATCTGATCAAACTTATTTGTTATTATACTTAAACCAATACAGAGGCAATAATTATATAGTTAAATACTGAAAAAATTACTCGGCTCTGTAGAGTGATTGCTTGGGTTCCATGTTACTACCAAATCTGGCTTTGATCCAAAATTCAAACAGTGCCTATGAATACTCTGTAATCTCACAGACAACTCTGCTTATTAGTGTTAATATTTCTTCCATTTTTAATTTAGCAAAGGGAACAAAGCAAGGTTGTCATCTCTGCTTTTTTACATGGATTTTAAACTCTTAATAGCACTTATTAGTTGAAAGATAAGAGAGAGGCTGTGTGGAACATAATGCAGCCTTATGAGCTGACAATTTATTACTTTGTTACAGATCCATCTTCTCCAGTTTCTGTTCTTATTGGCTTTCTAAAGAAATTAAAATTTCCACTCAATACAAAATCAAGTCAGAATTGATGTATGGAGTGTCAATCTGAGTCTATTTTTTCCACAGTTTGGATTGTTCCAGGATTAATCAAATACTTGCATATTAAATGATTCTAAAGTATTGTGGAAATTCAAAAGGCTAGACATTGGTTCAACAAATGGAATCAGATCTCTCTCTTGACCTTGATGAGCAAAGTGACTATGATAAAGATGAGCATTCTTTCTTGATTGTTGTAACAAGTGCAAGTGATCCCTTACACTTTTGACCATATTGTGGTTACATTTAAATAAGACATTGTTGCAAGTTGTATGGCAAAATAAGAAGTCACAGGCCTGATTCTGAATCTATGTTGACTTCAGTGGAATTGCTCCTTTTTTTGCACGAGCGTAAGTGAGATCAGAATCAGTGCCTCAAGGGAAATTGGAGAGAATTTAAGTTTCTAAAAGCTAAATCATTTCTCTAAGGGCTAGATTGAGTCATTACCCTCACTCTAACTTTCCTGGGGTGAATCCATGAAATTGTTGAAGGTGGGACAAGTACATGTGCCTCTCTTGCCAATCTGAGTTATAACAAAAGCTGGAGCTTCTGTGTCAGAAGGCTTGAAGCCAGACTGAGCATTCTAGGCCATGCCAGTTGGGAATGCAGGATTGAAGGGCCTGTATTTCTCCCCATTCTTGTTCTCTTGCCAGTTTGCCACTAAGATTGGTGGACCCCTGGGGGATGCTTTTCACCCACCTCCTGTATTCTCCCTCAGACTGACATGAGTGCAGGGTTCAGACACAAACAGCCTTGGCAAGATGCACAGCCACATATTGCAGGCTAATGTAAATTAAAGGCATCTACGTTAGGCAGGGCTTCTGCACCTTTGTATAGTTAACATGAGTGGTGACTGTGAGATGGCTGTAATATTTGGTTAATTCACCTCCGTGGGTTTCCTTTGGAATGGGTGTATAGTGAAAGACAGTTTGGGGAGCGTCTCTACCTCCTTGTGCTGAGTGGAGGTTTGGGATAGGGGAAGATTCCCACCACATAGATAAATATATAACATGTGTTTCATTTACCAAGAAGATCTGTATCTGCACACAGGCACACCAACTTTTGGATTATGTTTAATTTTGTTGCTGTTATTTTTTTAGTTCTCAGATTACCAGAATTACATTGTAAACAGCTGCGTAAAGGAGAATCCAACAATGGAAAGGTCCATTGCTCTTTGTAATGGTATCTCCCAGTGGGTGCAGCTCATGGTACTCAGTAGGCCAACACCACAGCTTCGGGCTGAAGTGTTCATCAAGTTTATTCATGTTGCACAGGTCAGTTTCACTTTGACTTTTTTGTGTTTGCATTTTCTTTGAAGCACTCAGCCCTTTAATTATTCCTCCTTCACCACTACTTGTACTCTCCAATGGGGTCATCTGGGAGGGAGAATTGGCAGTGGTCTCTGTTTTTTACCAAATGCTCACATATCACCTTCTCTTCAGTGGCATAAGTCTTCTCCCTGGAGGCCTATAATGCTGACCTGTTTGCCCAAAGCAGCTAGATTTCCTTTTGAACCATTCAATACTTTTCCTTCATCTTCCAGCGGTGTCACTATTTAGGGTATGTCTACATTGCATTCCTCTTTCGAGAGCGGAATGCAAGTGCAGACACCCAAAATTGCAAATGAAGCACGGATTTGAATTTCCCACGCTTCATTTGCACAATCACGGACCGCCGCTTTTCCGGAATAGCATCTTTAGAGACAACAAATGTGGTCCCTCGTTTTTTGAGAAGCAAGGGTTATTTCAAAGGAGGGGATTTCTGTTGAAATAACCCCGCGGGGACCGCGTTTGTTGTCTCAAAAGACGCTATTTCAGAAAAGCAGCGGTCCGCAATTATGCAAATGAAGCACGGGAAATTCAAATCCGCACTTCATTTGCAATTTCGGGTGTCTGCATTTTCATTCCTCTCTCGGAAGAGGAATGAAATGTGAACATACCCTTAGAGACCCTATTGCTGGAGAATTACTCTGATAAAGAGAACAATGCACCTGTTCAGAAGAATCTTGAGTCTGAACATGATTAAAATCTTACTTTTGCACTGAATAGAGGTGTCCTTTGGAGATTCCCCCTGCTCGCAGGAAAAAGAGACTTTTTGTGTAAAGAAAGAGCTCACCCACCACTCTCAACCAATGCTTGATTATAAAAATGGAGTAGGATTGTTTAAAAATGGTTGTGATGCTTATAAGAAGCGCACAAAATCTTTTTCAGGGGAAAAGGCAATTCACCATGTTTATTGCAAAAACAGCGCGTGCGCATGCTCGCACGTGCATGTCCTGCAGCTGGCATTATAGTGGTGCTTCTGGCCAGCATAGTGACCAGTTAGGCTGGGTACAAGGAAGGAGCCGGGTTCTGTCTGCTAGAGTCTAATCCTCCAAAATTGTCTTCATAGGACTAACCTAAGGCTTTATGGCTTCACACCCCACTTTTATGGTTTTGATTCCCAACTTTAGTCTATGGGCTTTGCAATGTCATGTTAGAGTCATGTAATTGTTGATAGGTGTTTACCTCAAGGCTGCTTCCGTTGTCATGCTCCATCAGATCCTGGGAGTGACTGCAGCTGGTTTATCTCATTCACAGATCTCACTCACAGGTGTATGCCTTTTGCTTTAGAGTCAATTCTGCCCCTCTTGAGCCATCCTGAGTTTGACGGGTGCCTGAGTTCACACCACCTAGTTATCCATGTTGAACATCTGGTGCTGGAGTCTTCTGTCTTTTGTCTTCTCACATTCCTCAGTTACACAAAGGACAGTTCATTTTAGAGAAAGCAATTTCTCTTAGAAAGGAACAGGCAGGATGTTCTTACAGACTTAAAAAGTTAAAAAGACGATTTGTAAACAATTTATTACTAACTTATAAACAATTTCTTACTAATTTATAATCCCAAATATAGAATACATTTTAATAACTATCAGTTGCTATAAAAAAGCTTGTGAAAATAGATCCATATAACGTGAAACAAAGCTATAAAATGAAGCCTATGTAATGACTACTATGACGGGCCTACATGGTATCTAAGTATGATGTGCTAGAAAGGAAACTGTTAGGAACTCCATAGAACCTATGGTACCCAGAACCCCAGCTAAAAATGAGAAAATATTTAGGATGTATTACATTTCACAATTTCAGACCCTAAGTAATTGCTGTTGTTTATCAATACAGAAGCTCCACCAGTTGCAGAATTTCAATACTTTAATGGCTGTTATAGGAGGCCTCTGTCACAGCTCCATCTCCAGACTCAAAGAAACAAGTTCTTATGTTCCTCATGAGGTCAATAAGGTCAGTATGGCTCTCATCAGTATCATAAGCATACAGTATAGATTGGATAACATTCAGACAAACAATTTTTAATGTTTTCCCAATTACATTTACAGATTAAAAGATTCCGAATATATGATGATGGAAATGGGGGAGGGAAGTGAGGGGAAATTAGTGACTTTAGGCTGTATATTTAAGGCTATCTAGTTAAAAATCAGCTCACTTTGTGAAGCTAAAATCTGAATGATTAAGTGCTTCAGAATTGGAAAATACTGATTAATTGCTTTTTGAAAATAGTATGAAATGACAGTAATATTTGTGTAAGCAGTTGTATTGTAGGTTTCCTTTGAAGCCAAAAGATTTAGACTGTTAGAGTTACTTTGTTGCTTGCTGGTTTGGCTTTTTGGAGAATAAATGCAAGTCAGTGAACAATAACATGGGCTGTCCCCATACCACCTGAAGAGATGACAAGGTTCACATGAACAAATGATGAACAAAGAAAATGCAATTAATTTTGCTACTTTGTTTTCTTTAGGTGTTTAATGAAATGACAGAACTGCTCTCATCTTATAGGAATTATGACAGTTATCGACGTGCTTACAATGAGTGCACTAACTTTAAGATCCCAATCCTTGGGGTCCACCTGAAAGACCTAATCTCCCTTTATGAGGCCATGCCAAACTACTTAGAGGACCAAAAAATTAATGTGCATAAACTGCAATCTCTGTATAACCACATAAATGAATTAATACAACTCCAGGAGATGATCCCTCCCCTAGAAGCTAATAAGGATCTTGTTCATCTGCTCACGGTAGGTTTGTAAGATCACAGAATCACATCTTATTTTGAATGGCTTTTCACGCATTTCTCAAGGGTTTAAAGCTAAATATATACTTTTTTACAGCTAATATTTAAAAAAAAAATCACAGGATTTTGGGGGCATGGTAGGAGTTGTACAGTAGTCCCAGTGAGGACATGAGTTAAAAAGAAAAGTAGTGGGAGCTAAAAGGTTAGCTTAACTTACCTGGCAGCATAGGAAGAGGTGGTTGATAATACAGGTTGTTTGGTTGTCTGCTTGGGGTTATCTCTATGGGATGGAATGAATACATTTGTCTCTGCTCTTCTACATTAACAAGCACCTCCTGCACACTTTCACTAAGGAGGCAGTAATTAGGGGCAGAGTTGCCTTTACTCCCTGGATGCTCTGGGAAGGATAAAAGATGCTAGAAAAGTCTTAAAAGTGCAGTGGAGAGGTTTGCTGTGCCTGTTATTCATAGTAGTTGCTGTGTGCTTCAACATGAGAAAGGGGAGGCATCATGTGATGCTGTTGGCATAAACGTACCTCAGTTCTGAGGGATATCGCACTTTTCTTTGTGAAGCTGCTAGATGGTACCAGTAAAGATTGTCTGCAGTTAGCGCGTGTTGCTGGTGGTTCTTTCAGAAATGTCTACTCCAGGACAAATGTTACTTCTACAGCAGGGACAATATCCAAGTTAAGTAAGGGATATGGATGGTTCTTAATAGCCGTGTTTTAGTCACAAATGATTAAAGGTCTAGAAAAGCTGACTTATGGGGGAAGATTTTAAAAACTGGATTTATTTTAAAGAGAAGACTGTGAGAAGAGACATAATTATTTTCATACATAAAAAGTTGTTACAAGGAGGAGGGAGAAAAGTTGTTCTTAACCTCAGAGGATAGGGCTAGAAATAGTGGGCTTAAATTGTAGCAAGAGAGGTTTAGATTGGACTAAGGATGTCAAAATGTGGTTACTTTTTCCTAACCGAGTAGTTGTTAGATTTTTTTTTATCGACTACTAGATTAGTCGATAAAGATCGCCATTGCAGCGCTCATTCCGGCTTGCGCCGGGTCCCAGCAAAACAGTGTAATGCTTGACATGTAGAGTGGCGGGGGGGGGGGGGGGGGGGGGTGAGGGCTCACCCATTGCCCACGGGAGCAGGGACTGACCTGGCATCTTTGCGCTCCAGGTGCTCAGTCCCTTAATATTTCAGATCTGCAGCTGGGAAGGTGGGGGGAATCTCCATAAGTGAAGATTTTTAAGAGCAGGTTAGACCAGGGCTACTCAACTTTGGAAGCCCCAGGGGCCACAGTGATACTCACAGCACATGCCAAGGGCTACAACTTAAGTGTGGTTGCATATACATGCAAATATATATGCAAATAGCTTCTTTCACAATGACAGGCATGAATACAAAGCACTTCTCACAATGCCCCGGCACTTCCTCCCTGGGCGCTAAAAATGTTGATATCCTATACCCATCTGTTCCAGCCAGCTCCTCCCCGCCTGCTTGCATCTTTCAATACTCACCCCACCTTGGAAATGCCTCATCATTGTGGAGCGTGTTCCCAGAGGAAGCCATGTTCAAAGGATCCAACCCGCGGGGCACTTGTTGAGCCTCATGTAAACCAAACCTCACTGTGGGCTGCATGTGGCCTGCGGGCCACGTGTTGAGTAGCCCTGGGTTAGACAAACACCTGCCAGGGATAGTCTAGATAATTCTTAGTCCTGCCTTTGAGTAGAGGGGAGCAGACAAGATGTCCACTCAAGGCCTCTTCCAGCCTGTATGATTCTAAGATGCTAGATGCTCCTAGAGTGTTACAAAACTATGACGAATTTTTAATACATATTTGCTTTTCCCCGGTTGTGCTGTTTATTTTTAGCAGCTTTCAATTTAACAAGATGGGCCAGTTTTGCTTTCAGTTTACAGACCCTGTTTCAGCAAAGCAATTAAATACATACTTCAAGCAGAAAGTAGCTATATCACTGGGACTGCCCGCGTGCTAAGGATGTTACATTTAGATTAATTAACTAACAGACTAGGCGATGGGATTTCCATCAACAATTCAATTAGTCTATAAGGGCGCCTCTGCCTGCTGGGCTCTTGCTGCAGTTCAAAGCGGAAGCCCCACAGGGAGCGCAGGGCCAGCAGAGGAATACTGGAGCTCTTGTACATAGCAAAAGCAAAATCGCAGCAGAAGCGGCACAAGCAGAGACTGCTTCAGACCATGCTCATGCTGTTTCCTACTGTGCCTCTATCGCTCCTCTTATTTACTAGAATATTTTCAGAAACAAAGGTGAAAGGGGATGCAGATAAGTTCTTTTTAAATTCTTGCATATCCGGTGCAAAAACAGCCCCTTTTTAAATAGTGGTAACACCAGGGTTCTTGCTGTGAATAAGCAATCCCTATCTTCTGGCTCTGGCATGTACTTACCCTGCTTTTTCTGATCCCAGCTGGATTTGATTAATTTGAAACTGCAGATTTCAAGCTGACAGTACAGACTGAGGTGAAGGGCAATAGCATGAAGCTTAAGTTCCCACAAAGCAGCGCAACCACATAGTTTCCCATTAAGCCCCATGCAGGGCTCAGGGATGCATCAGAGGATTCCTCTTCGCAAGCACTGAAGGTGTTGCAGCTGGTAGGGTAGTGCCTCTCCCTACTGTCCCCAGTAGGGAGCAGCCATGGCTGGTGGACAAGTGCCTCTGCCTGCTGGCCCCAGCAAGGAAGCTGCCATGGCCAGTGAGGAAGCACTCCTCCTTGCTGGCCCTGGCAGCTCTGTGCTAGTGCAGGTGGGGAAGCAGCCAACACAGCAGGTCGAGCTGCAAAATAGTCATGTTCATACACACTAAGGCAGCACCTCTTGCTACGGTTTTACAATCTAAGTATGTGATGAGACAACAGGTCATACAACAACCAGTGTGGGGGACAAAAGGGAACAGCAAAACAGGTCTCATTATTGCCAGAAGCAGTGGTCACAGAACACCAGCTATTTAGGAATGTGCTGCCTAATTTCAAAGCAAAGTCTGCAGAGATTAAGTCTGCTGCATTAATGTATCTACTGGTCACTCTTTCTTGACTGACAGCTCAGGGCACCTCCATGCACTGCTGCTTGACAGCCTTAACCTCACCCATAGGAGGGGAGGGGAGAGGAGAGACAGCCTGTCACAGTACTGCAGCAGCAAGCCTCTGAGCCCAGGTCAACACTTTTGGGCTTGTACTAAAAACAGCTGTGTAGGAAGTGCCTGTTCCAGCTGCCCTTTCCATGGTCTCTGGGAGAATGGTTTTTGCAGGCATCTCCCCAGAACTGAGCATGTTAAGGACAACATGTACTTCAGAACGTTCTTTCTGATTGACTAGCTGGACCCAGCCTGGAGGGCGAGGGAATTGCTTTGGTTGCATGGCCCTGGTGGGCACTTTGGGCACAGTGGAGGGACAGGTTGGTGAGGCGGTAGCTGATGGGGTGGCACCGTGGGTCTATTGTGCAGCACAGAACGGAGTGGAAGGGGCGGGTGCGTTTGGACCCTTCACACACACCCTGACTTCTGCCCATACAGATACAGTACTTATCGAGTGGGGTAAAGTATTTTTCTGATTTCTATAACAGGCCAAAGGTAGAGAGCCCCTGAGAAGGAAGAGCATATGGAAATCAAGAGATACTATGTCATATCCACAGATAGCCAACTCAGCAAGAAACTCAGTAGTCCTTGAGAACAACTTCCCCAAATATGTGGATATCTCAGTAGTGCTAAAAATGACCTATACAGCTTCAATTACTTTTCTCCTTTTTTTTTTTTTTTTTTTAGTGGGAAGGGGGGGTGAGGAAAGAAAAGGTCACAGAAGTCTGAATCAAGAGATACTATGTCATATCCACAGATAGCCAACTCAGCAAGAAACTCAGTAGTCCTTGAGAACAACTTCCCCAAATATGTGGATATCTCAGTAGTGCTAAAAATGACCTATACAGCTTCAATTACTTTTCTCCTTTTTTTTTTTTTTTTTTTAGTGGGAAGGGGGGGTGAGGAAAGAAAAGGTCACAGAAGTCTGTGGGAGCCATATCCATTCGGAGAGGCTAGTTAAATATAAGTCTAAAGAAAGAAGTAGTCTGTGTGTGGCATACTTGAATAAAATCTATATTGAAATTAATTCTAAATAATTAGAATATTGAGAAATAAATTTGTTGCACAAAAACCTAATTTTGGACTAAATTTTTTGGATAGTTATTAAAGACAAATCTACCAAAATAGAGTTTGACTCACAAATACAGATAGGCAGACATCTCTCAGGGATGTAATAGAACCACCATTTTAATATCATCGAGAAAACAGATTATCAGACCACTTATTAACTCACACAGTTAGATGCAGATAGCTGATTGTGCTTGTGTTCGTTTCTCAGGCAATGGAGACTACAGACTGATGTTTGGAAATGCGCCCGTTTCAAATTGCTATCAGCAGCCAGGCTTTGAATGCATGTTCTCGGAATGCATGTTTTTGTAGCACAGCCTTTAACAGTTAGTTCACCAGTAAGTGGCAGGTGCACCAGAAACAACTAAACCCACAGAATAACAGCAACTGCTTAGAGACTAATCTAGTTCTGTGTTTTTCAGCTGTCACTTGATCTTTACTACACTGAAGATGAAATATATGAGCTGTCATATGCACGAGAGCCAAGAAGCCACCGAGCTGCAGTAAGAGTCTTTCCAGAACCTTAACCTTAACCTTGATTTAACAACATATTCATTTCATCGGTGGCAGACACTTTGGTTTAGGCTATGGCTCATTAAAGAAACAGACATGTTTTTGGTATATTGTTAGAAACAAATAACACAGCGTGAAGCAAAATAGTAATATCTCTTTTTATGGGCCTGCGTCTCCTCTCATTCTGATGATGCCAGTGTAACCCCATTTATTTCAAATGATATACTTGAATTTAATACAGCCGGTCCGCGACTTACAAATGCATCGACGTACGATCAGCCGCACTTATTACCAGCCTCCCATTAAGCACGGCCCGGACTTATGAACAGCGATCCACACTTACGAACAGCGCAGTCCCATTGAAATGAATGGGGTCCGACTTACGAACACATCGAGTTACGACCAAGTGCTTGGAACGTAACTCGTTCGTAAGTCGGGGACCGGCTATATGTGGTGATTTATACTAGCATTAATGACAACATCAGGCCCCCGAGTTGTCGCATTGATAGTGAATTCTAATTCCGCTATAGCATCAGACCTCTAGTAATTCCAACAATCTGCCCCGGGGCATTTTTATAATTTATAAATTTTACTTTTTTCAATTTTTCTTTTTATAAACATGAAAAAGAAAGCAGCTTACCATGACACTCAGGGCATGCAGAATGTTAGTCACTTTGTTAGCCCGCTCGTTGCCTTTACAAAAGAGAGATTTGTTGATGCTGAACCAAGTAACAGCACCCTGCCATTCCAGTTGGTTAGCCAGCCAAACAAATGCCTTAGGACTCTGCCAGCCTTTATTTTGCCTTACAGGTAAAACTTGATACACCCCCATTTCCAATCCCCTCCCCAGAAGAGCCTTCACCAGACACTGTCACCAGATTCTCACAAAGCTTACCAAGTCCACTGACTCCAGAGAGACCGAATAGACCAGCTCTTCTGAGGATTCACACTTTTACTGTAATATTAGAGCGCTGAGATGAAGTTACAGTAAACCCAAGAATAAGTTTATTAAAAGTGAACAGGCTTAACTGAAACTGCAAAGATAATAGAAACAGAAAATGGTTACAAATGAAAGTATAGCACTTTCTGGTGACTAAGATTTAACTTGACAGGCTGCCATCCTTGTTTGAGTTTCTCTCCTAAAGTTGCCCCTCAGCATCCTAAACCGAGAATCCACGAGTCCGAAAGGCATTGGCATCTTTGCTCCTTTAGTGATGAATGCACAAAGCGTCCTTCCCCACCTATGTTCAAGAAAACCTTTGAAAAGTATTCTTTACCATCGTCCCCAGTCAAAGTTCTTCTCTGCTAGCATGCAGAAGTCATGCCATATTATCTTATCTATGCTAAGGCTGTTTTCTCATCCTTCTGTTAATCTGCTTTTCCTGTTGACTTTTGTTTGGCTTTTACAATGCTGATTAGAGACCTAAGGCTGACAGATAAATCAACATTCCATTCACTAGATAAACTTTATCTATCAGGCATGCCTAGTTTACACATATTTTCAGTATACACTCACAACTGTCTAATGGTGATGACCAGTATGAAAGAAGTATTTTTTTCAACTGACACCTGATGCAATATTCTTTCCAGAGAAGCACAATGACACCAATCATAGAATCATAGAATAATAGGACTGGAAGGGACCTCAAGAGGTCATCGAGTCCAGCCCCCCGCCCTCAAGGCAGGACCAAGCTCCACCTACACCATCCCTGACAGATGTCTATCTAACCTGTTCTTAAATATCTCCAGAGAGGGAGATTCCACCACCTCCCTTGGCAATTTATTCCAATATTTGACCACCCTGACAGTTAGGAATGTTTTCCTAATGTCCAATCTAAACCTCCCCTGCTGCACTTTAAGCCCATTACTCCATGTCCTGTCCTCAGAAACCAAGAGGAACAAATTTTCGCCTTCCTCCTTGTGACACCCTTTTAGATATTTGAAAACCACTATCATGTCCCCCCTTAATCTTCTTTTTTCCAAACTAAACAAGCCCAGTTCATGAAGCCTGGCTTCATAGGTCATGCTCTCTAGACCTTTAATCATTCTTGTCGCTCTTCTCTGTACCCTTTCCAATTTCTCCACATCTTTCTTGAAATGTGGCGCCCAGAACTGGACACAGTACTCCAGCTGAGGCCTAACTAGCGCAGAGTAGAGCGGCAGAATGACTTCACGAGTTTTGCTTACAACACACCTGTTAATACAACCTAGAATCATATTTGCTTTTTTTGCAACAGCATCACACTGTTGACTCATATTCAACTTGTGGTCCACTATGACCCCTAGATCCCTTTCCGCCATGCTCCTTCCTAGACAGTCGCTTCCCATCTTGTATGTATGGAACTGATTGTTCCTTCCTAAGTGGAGCACTTTGCATTTCTCTTTATTAAACCTCATCCTGTTTACCTCTGACCATTTCTCTAACTTGCTAAGGTCATTTTGAATTATGTCCCTATCCTCCAAAGAAGTCGCAACCCCACCCAGTTTGGTATCATCTGCAAACTTAATAAGAGTACTCTCTATCCCAATATCTACATCATTGATGAAGATATTGAACAGTACGGGTCCCAAAACAGACCCTTGAGGAACTCCACTTGTTATCCCTTTCCAGCAGGATTTAGAACCGTTAACAACAACTCTCTGACTACGGTTATCCAGCCAATTATGCACCCACCTTATCGTGGCCCTATCTAAGTTATATTTGCCTAGTTTATCAATAAGAATATCATGCGAGACCGTATCAAATGCCTTACTAAAGTCTAGGTATATGACATCCACCGCTTCTCCCTTATCCACAAGGCTCGTTATCCTATCAAAGAAAGCTATCAGATTAGTTTGGCATGACTTGTTCTTCACAAACCCATGCTGGCTATTCCCTATCACTTTATTACCTTCCAAGTGTTTGCATATGATTTCCTTAATTACCTGCTCCATTATCTTCCCTGGGACAGACGTTAAACTGACCGGTCTATAATTTCCTGGGTTGTTCTTATTCCCCTTTTTATAGATGGGCACAATATTTGCCCTTTTCCAGTCTTCTGGAATCTCCCCTGTCTGCCATGATTTTTCAAAGATCATAGCTAAATGTGTTAGGTGCAGTGAGTTTGTCAGGCCTGATGGCCGATGCTGTTTCATGACCTTGATTTCTTTGCTTCTAGGTATTGAGGTCTTATAAAGTCACTCATAAGTTTTTTTTAAACTGATCTATTGTTAATCAAAATACATAGGGTGTAATGTAGCAGTACTGGGGAAATTACTGCTGTTCCTGGTAAATGGGTTGAAACAACAATAGTGTAAAAAAAAGGGGGGGGCATGATATAAAGACTAACAGCTGTTATAAAGGAAAATTATGCATCATCAATTGCTAGTAGAAAAAGCCTGTGACCAAGTCCTTCACAAAAGACTGCTGAGTAAATTAAATAGTTATGGAGTGGGACACGCAATATTGTGAGGAAGCAGAAACTCAGATTAAAAAAGAGAAATAAAGTGGTCACTTTGTTTTATGGCAAAAGTTTAACAGGATGCCACGGCTCCATACTAAGACAGGTGGTGTTCAATATATACTTACTGAGCTGCAGCAAGGGGTAAAATATAGAGTAGCAAACTACAGATGACACAAGTTTTTAAGCTAATCAAGACAAACATCATGTAAGGAATTGCAGAGTTAGCCAATAAGGGTGGATGAGTAGGCAACATGATGGTAGATTGGTTTGTGTGTGTGTGTGGGAGGAAGGAACAAGAAGGGACTGTACCTTGGCAAAAGTAATTTGAACTACTTACCCACCTTACTGAGCTCTGAATTAACTGTAACAACACCTTAGGGAAAAGACCTAAGTATCAATGTAGATAGCTCAGTGAAGATGTTCCTCTTGGGTATCTAGTATTGACCCTGTCAAGAGACAGGCTACTGGGTGCACCACTTTGATCCTGGCTAGCCATTCTTACACATCTGTTAGACAATGGAAAGAACTTGGATATTGAACATATGATGAGATGGTAATAAGTTTTTATGATGTTTATTTTTAGCCATTGACACCTTCCAAACCACCTGTAGTTGCAGACTGGGCCTCAGGCGTAGCTCCAAAACCTGATCCAAAGACAATCAGCAAACACGTTCAGAGAATGGTAGATGTAAGTGGCCAAAGTACTATGTATATTTGATTATGTCTTGTATATAATAATAAAAGTAATGATTAGCTGCAGACATCTTCAAAACTGTACTGAAAACCAGACATCTTCAAAACTGTACTGTGCCTGTTTGTAAACAATGTTTAAAACATTGCATTGTTTGAAAGTTGTTATAGTAGTTACAATCCCCTCAGAGGTATCATCGAACTGCACTGCTACTTAAACTGGGGTTGCAAGTAGTTATTGTTTAGGAGACTAAAATACTCAGATTACCCAGTTCAGCACACATTCATTCTCTGCAAAAGTTAGTATTGATGCAGTGTATTTATCGTAACTGGGACCTGAGCATTCTGAGGTGGTGATCAAAGCAGGAGTCAGGCCAGGTCACCTACCAAGAAGTCAGTCTGAGACCGGCCAAAAGGCAAAACAAGAGTTAAATGTCAGAAGGCAATCAGGGTCAGGTTGCCAGGAAGTAAGAAGCAGAAGATTAACATGAAGAACCACATATCAGGAACCAGAGTTGTGCCAGTTCAGGATACCAGGAAGTGAAGCCAGAGTAGCAAAAGCAGTCAATAGCAAAGTGGATCCTAGTTCATAGACAGCTTCCTGTTCCTGTGCTGGGTTTAAATAGGGCTGTGGATCAATCAGCTTCCAAAACTGGGGCCTTCTACTTTGAGAACAGTTAGCAGAGCTGTGGCGGGCAGGGTGGAACCTGAGAAACTTGAGTAAGCCCTGTTAGAGATGTTAAAACGGTTAACCAGTAAACATACTATTAAGCACACTGGTAAGCTTGAGGCATACCAGTATGCTTAATGGTTAACTGGACCCTGCCAGTAATCTCCAATGGCATCTATCAGTAGTAGGCTGGGGCAGCCCTGGCTACGAAGAGGCCATCAGGACCCCACGGCCACGGAGGGACTACACAGTCATGGTAGGGTTGGGTAGCAGGCCAAGCAACAAGCCCAGAGTTAAAATGGTTAAATGAATGAGCGGGATTAAAGAGCTATGGTCCATGCTAGTGTTTCACATGCTTTTCCACAAATTGCTTAGCAAGAGTTTAATGAGAGGAACTTTTAAAATGAGGATTTAGGACCTAATTCTGCAACCCTTATATTTAATAGAGCCCTGCACAGATACAAAATTGGTACCGATTGAACCTCTCTCATCTGGGACTCTGTCCGGCAACATCCATGGTCCAGGAGGACCACAATTGTTGCTAGAGCAGACAGCTCCAGCCGCAGAGGTTGAGTGTGGCTGGGAGCAAATCTGGCCTGCAGCTTGCAGGGCCAGTGAGCTGGGGATTCCTGGGAGCAGGTGCCACCCTGTGTGGGGCAGGAAGCAGAGCCCTGGGAACAGGCGAGCCAGGCAGGTGAGCCAGAGAAGGTCACGACTCCAGTTTTTTCTGGAGTAGCAGCCAAGAGGGAAGCCCCAGGAGAGCGCAGATGCCTGATCTCCCCAGGACTGGTAAATTCCCTTGTTCAGGACCACTCTGGACCCAAGGCTGCTGGACAAGAGAGATTCATCTTGTATCCACCATCTGCAAAAATGATCTACACATATCCACATCCACACATCCCCAGATGCAGATACCTGCAGTTTTTTCTGGAGTAGCAGCCAAGAGGGAAGCCCCAGGAGAGCGCAGATGCCTGATCTCCCCAGGACTGGTAAATTCCCTTGTTCAGGACCACTCTGGACCCAAGGCTGCTGGACAAGAGAGATTCATCTTGTATCCACCATCTGCAAAAATGATCTACACATATCCACATCCACACATCCCCAGATGCAGATACCTGTGGCTATAAAGCTGATATCCACAAATTTGCAGGGCTCTATTAATAGATACAAGTAGCCACATCATCTTCAATTGTGCTACTAAATGGCTGCAAGGGTTGCAGAATTGGCCTTAATTCAGCCTGGTTTTTAAGTGTGTGGGCAGTTCAACTGATGTCACTGGGACTGCCCATGCACTCAGGGTTAAGCATGTGTGCTTAAGGATTTTTCAGAGTTGGCCACCTACAAGAAGGAAACTCTTGGCTTGTATACACAAGTTGTGCAGGTGCTAGTTGTATTGCAGTCATTAACTCAATCCCTTTATTTTGATTGAGTGGCTTCACATTGTTGCACTTGCACAGGTGCAGAAATCCTCACTAGTGGTGTGCAGTCTTGCTTGCATGGAGAGGATTTTAGTGAGCATTTGTAAGGGTTGGAGAACCTGGCATCCCAAACTGAGAGAGTGGCATGTGGTGATGTGTGAGAGAAGGCAGAAGACACCAAGCAGGGAAAGCAGAAGAAATGGTAAACAGTGTTTGGAGTGGAGCTAGAGTGATATAGAAAAGGGAAGGACACTTCTGTTCTCTCCCATAGCTATTTCTGCCTGGTTTCAAATAACAAAGGGAGCACGCACTGACAATCAAAAGGAAGCTCCTAAGCTTAGAGCTGCTCTCTTGTATGGCAGGCACTGACAGACAACCTTGTTTTGGGTGAGTTTTTGAGCTCTATTTATGCATACATCTTGCCCCCCAGAGTGAAGAAGTCTGTTCTCTACTTTTAGGTTTAGACACATGTGCTAGGCATTCTAGCCCCTTTGGCAATCCCAAGAAAACTCTGAAAGATTGGCAATGGCTTGCTGGGCTGGTGTCTTGAGCAAGTGGGACTTTTGGGAGTATGTAAAGCATCTTAAAGTCACAGTCACTTTGGAACAAGCTGATGCCTAGACATGGAATGCTAAAAGGTCACCGCAGCTCAGGGAGTCAGTGACTGCTGCAGGGTAGGCTAGAGGTGGTAGGATTACTTGAACTGATGTACATTCGTGTCTGTGGTGCTACTCCATTGACTTGACACTCCCTCCAATTTAGAGCTGCCCCAATAAAATAATCTGAGCAACTATTTTGGTTTTATTACCGAGATCTAGCTCTGGGAGATTTTGTGCACACACACACATGCCTGCTCCTGTTTTAAAAAGGTGGGCTATGTTGGTGCAGTCCTTGTGAGTAGACCTGTCCTTAGTGGTTTGGGGATTGGGGGGGGGGGGGAGAAGAGAGGGACCAGGTGTGAAAAACAAAGGGATTTGTGGAAGGGAAGTGTCAGTGGGATTGCATATGCTATGGGCCAGTACAGAATTGCATCCGTGTTGTTTGAATTTATCTTTTGGTTCGACATATCCAGAATGTACAATGCTTCCATAGACTTAAGCAGGGTAGCCAGTGAGAGAGGTCCTGGCACTGTTTTGAAGAAACCCTTAAAGCTTATTTTACACTTAATAACAGAAGGAATACATGTTTTTGTCTGAGATGCTAATATATTTTGAATTTAATTTTTTCCCCAAAAAGTGAAAAGTAAGTTGTCTAACTTCATTATAAATTTTTCTTTTATTCTTTTATCTAGTCGGTCTTCAAAAATTATGACCATGATCAGGATGGATACATTTCTCAGGAAGAGTTTGAAAAGATTGCAGCCAGCTTTCCATTCTCATTTTGTGTCATGGACAAGGACAGGTGTGTGTCCATGAACCTAGTTTTACATTGGTTTTTGCATGTGAGCTTTGTAACAGATAGTGGCATAAGAGATGTTAAAATCACCCTCCCCTCTCTGAAAATGAAAGCAGAAATGTAACTCAAAAGCTCCTTCTTAGTGGCAAATTACCTCACCCATCTGCAGAAAAAAAACCAGTAGTCTGCTGTGAGACTCCAATAGGTTGCATAGACTGATTACACTTCAATTTTCTCCAATGTCTTAAAGAATATTTTATTGAATTGAATTCAATAATATTAACAGTATTGAACATTTTTCTAAAACTTTATCTAGGAACAAGTTGTATTGTCAAAGATAACGTAGAAAAACAAAATTGTTTGATGTAGCCTAGTGAAACCTATGGTTTGACCAAATAACAGACATTCGTGTTAACCAAAATGTTCCTCAACAAAGAAAAATGCAGCGGTAGTCATTTGGGGTATGTCTACACTGCACACTACACTAACTGCATAATTATTCTGAAATAGCTTATATCAAAATAGCACGCCTACACTGCACAGAAGCCTCAAAATTAGTCCTAGGTGGGCTTCCCTAATGTAGACGTGCTACCTCGATTTAGAGGCACTGAGGAGGAATAACTTAGAATGGCCCTGGTGAGGGGCTATTTTGAAATAGCGGCAGTGGAATATCGGCACACACCTTATTTAGAAATAGCTATTTTGAAATTATTTCGAAAAAAACCGGAATGGCTGTGTAGATACTTGCATTGTTGTTTTGAAATAACGATGCAATGTACACACACTTTGTGTTTCTCTGGCCTGCCAAAGATTAACATTAGAAAGCAGAGAAAATTAAAACTTGTTTCTACCACTAATACCTCGTGGGTATTTTTCTTCCTCCTATGAAAGGGCACACCTTTCTAACTCTAAGCTAGAGATTGTAAAGGACAGTGTGACTTCCTGTTGGAAGAAGTTATTCTATTGGGGTGTGTCTAGACTGGCAAGATTTTGCACAAAAGCGGCCGCTTTTACACAAAACTTGCCAGCTGTCTACACTGGCCGCTTGAATTTGCGCAAGAGCACTGACCTTCTAATGTAAGAATTCAGTGCTTCTTGCGCAAATACTTTGATGCTCCCACTCAGGGATAAGCCCTCTTGCACAAGAATACTTGTGCAAAAGGGCCAGTGTAGACAGGCACCTTAATTTTTTGTACAAGAAAGCCAGATGGCTAAAATGGCCATCGGAGCTTTCTTGCGCAAAAGCGTGTCTATACTGAACACGGATGCTTTTGCGCAAAAGCATCCGTGCCAATCTAGACGCTCTTTTGCAGAAATACTTTTAACAGAAAAACTTTTCCCTTAAAAGTATTTCCGCAAAATCATGCCAGTCTAGATGCCCCCTTGCTGTTTTGTATTTTATTTTTTTGCTTTTTGATAGTTGCACAGTGGTCTCTGAAGCTGTTATGAGATGGCCTTTCATATGAAGCAATTTTGTTTAGTAACAAACTGCATTTTAATTCATAATTAGTTTCTATAGAATCCATGACCAGTTTTGCCAGATTGACTGACAACTCCTACCATCAGAAGTGTGAGTAGGAGATGATGTAGTTTACTCTCCTTTTGCTGCTGAAAAGCAGAGACCCAATTAACCATCTCTCTTGTTTATTTGCAGGGAAGGTCTGATTAGCAGAGATGAAATAACAGCTTACTTTATGAGGGCTAGTTCAATCTATTCTAAATTAGGTCTTGGCTTCGCTCACAACTTCCAGGAGACCACTTACCTAAAGCCCACGTTCTGCGATAACTGTGCTGGATTTGTAAGCTTATTTTTAAGTACATTATATTCATATTTATTGGCATAATGGTGTTCCTTCAGTCTACTAAGCAAACATTTATCATCTAATATTGAAATTGTAGGAAAATATGCGCATTTAATGTTACTGACCAGATTTCAGTATTTCTCTTTAGCAGTGTTTTTGTTTCTTTAACATTGCTCCTTCTCCCTTGTGTTCTTCTGGCTGTCAAGGCAGCAGGCTTTCACACTGCATCACTGTCAGGCAAGAGTTTCAAAGCCTGCTGCTTCCTGAGGTTGTTGGGACTGGCCCCACCAGACCTGTTTCTTGTTTAGCAAAGGAAGACTGGGCTAGCTGACTTGCACTGCTCTCTGATGACTGATTCCTGGGATCAGCATCATGCTGCTGTGGGGTGATTCTTATGTGTTAGTGATGGCACCTGAAAGTGTCTCAAGCTGGAGATAAGGCTTTACAAAAGTACAATAGATACGGTCTGTAACGCCCCTGCTACTCCACTTCTGGAACCTCTCTGCAGATCAGCAAAGACAATTGATTGACAAGAAGTAGTATCAGGCCTCAAAACAATGAGATGGGCTTTGGGGATGTGAAGAAGCAGGTAATTTCATAATTGTGTAGTTGATAGAATTATATCGACTACATGATTAGTCAATAAGGGAAGGCAGTTAAAGCGAAGTCCAGGACCTATCCCTGCTGTGGCTCTGCATTTAAAATGTAGTAGGAGCCTGGCAGGCAGGCAGCTCGTCTCAGACTTGGCTTGCACCAGGTCTGGAGCCACTGCAGCTCTGCATTGAAATGCATATAGATGATAGCATTAACCAATAAGCTTTTGTTTATTGGTTCATCAACTATACTATTGCATCCTTAGTGGGCTTTTGTCACATTCTTATGCTGGGAGGGGGTCATTCTACATGCCAGATTTTAATGAAATACTTTAACGCAAACATGTCTTTTTTTCTTTGTGCCTGAATTTCAGCTGTGGGGAGTTATTAAACAAGGCTATAGATGCAAAGGTAATTACTACTTCCTCTTCTGTTGACTTAATGCACAGGTGTGAAGGTGCCCTGCAAAATTAAAAATATGGTTGTAGCTGGAGGGTACATTATTTTCTCTAGCCCCACTTCATTGCCCTCTAAGACGCAGATCCCAAGGGCATCTGTTGGCAAAGGAAGCCAGGACCTCAGATCTGGAGAAGGAGCAGGTGATCCCCAGACAGTGTGAAGTCATAACAGATGGCCCTAGCTCTTTGCAAATCCCCACAGGGTCTGTAATGGAGACTCCTGTTTGATAGGGAGACAAACACCGGCTTTCAACAGAACTATTTGATGCGCTCTACAATGGAAATATTGCAGAATTTTCCTTTCCTGCATACACTTCAGTAGGCTTTTGCATAGGAGAAAATAATATGACTTCAAGATTATTAGACACTTTGACTAGTACTGCTATAACATGTTCTGCTGTTGTGATATCTTTGATACAAAAGTGGTTCGATTAGTACATTGCAAAAGTTGGGTACATTTACCATTCATTTGTGGTTTCATACCATGCCTTATAGAACATGTAAGACGACCTCTGCAGTTTCCTGGGGAGGTAATACAGTGTGGGAACAGCTCTCAGATGCTGCAGCAAAACCACTAACTTCTACAAACCTTGTTTTACTTGTTTACAGATTGTGGAATGAACTGTCACAAGCAATGCAAAGACCTGGTTGTATTTGAGTGCAAGAAAAGATCCAAAAGCATGACTACAGATAACAGCCCAACCTCAGCCCTCGCTTCTAGCCTCTGCCCTGTGGGAGTCAAAGAACACTTCCACGGTGAGAGAGGTTCAGACAGCTAAGATCAAAGTAACTGCTATATAGGACCCCTCTTTTAGTCCCTCCCTGAACTTGCTGATTGAATAAATTCTAGTATTTATTAACATATTAACAGTTGCTAGAGCCAGACACAAGTAAACCTGGCTCTGGGTGCACCCACTACTATCCCCCGCCTGCTTGTTAATTCAGTAGTGGTCATTTCCTAAGCAGAGATGTATGATATGCACCAAGAGCTCAGACCAAACCCTGCCAACTTTTCTCAGCTGTGACTCAAAGGATCTGTCACCTATCTAAAAGTGAAAGGCTGATGTGTTAACTAATTGTGCCACCTTGTGACAAGCAGATTCCAGTATACAGGCAGTCCCCGAGTTACGCGGATCCGACTTATGTTGGATCCGCAGTTACGAACGGGTATTTTCTCGCCCCGGAGGACTGGAGCGGCGGGACGCCTGGTCCCGCTGCCCACCTCCTCCGGGGCGAGAAAAGCTGCTCCCCGTCTCGGACATTTTTCCAATGAAAACTAAAATAATTATTTAAACCTTTCACCCAGCATATTCCGGTGTAAAAAGTAGTGCAATCAGTTAATTTAAGTGACAGGATTGTTTATGCAAAATTTGGTATCTGTAGGTAATCACGAAGTATGGTTTTATTTTACATAAGAAATCCACAAACAAACTCTTCAAAATATATAATAGATCTCCACAGATATAAATCTATATGGATAAAATCACTATTTGTTATACTTAGGGATAAATAAGGGAGTTTTTTTTTTATTTTATTCGGTTTTCATAGAAGTTCAAGGGCTATAGGTCTACCCCAATCTGTAGGGCTTTTAAGAACCTTTTGTTTCAACCTGCCAACCAGTGACATGTTAATAGTAACTAGAACTCAGAGCTTGACTCAAAAAATCTCCAGGCCTGGGGGTCCAGTTTGTTTCCCAGCTTCTAATTACAGGCAGTCCCCGGGTTACGTACAAGATAGGGACTGTAGGTTTGTTCTTAAGTTGAATCTGTATGTAAGTCGGAACTGGCATCCAGATTCAGCCGCTGCTGAAACTGATCAGTTTCAACAACGGCTGAATCTGGACACCAGTTCTGACTTACATACAGATTCAACTTAAGAACAAACCTACAGTCCCTATCTTGTACGTAACCCGGGGACTGCCTGTACTTTAGATTCGACCACTTGGCAAGAAGCATCTGAAATATTATATAAGTGGGCTCAGAGTTACCAGGGGCCTCCCTCAGGCTCATCTCTCTCTTTCCTGACTCCAGCACATGCAGATATGGCCGTCCATCTTGGCCCAGGCACAAAGACGCACAACTGCATCATACATTACCCCCCCCCCATTCGTTTTAAAAAAAACTTTTAAAATTGTCTCTTTTTAACCTCAGGAGTTTGCCCCACAGTTACTGCAGCCAGACTTGCCTCTTTTCCTTCCTTTCCCCCATCTGTACAGACAACTAGGCATAGCCTCATTGTCTCACTTCCCATCCTTTCTCCACTGCTGAGGTGAAAGTCTCTGAAATTCTGCCATTAGGGCTACCTGCTGTACATCTCACCATATCAACTCTTCATCCATTTCCAAGCCCCCCCCCCCCCCAGTGCTCCAGGTGCAGGACCCAGAGCAACACCCCTTCACCATGGCGGCAGGAACTGGAGTGGCCCATCAGTCTGCTCCATCCCACCCCTCTTTCCCAGCCTACTGCACCCTGCTTCTCCATGGCAGTGAGAAGTGGAACGCCGTAGGACCAGGGCACTCTATTTCCCACTGCCGCAGTGGAGTGCAGCCAGCTGGGAGAGGGCAGCGTGCCAGAGCAGGCTGCTGGATCTCATCACTGCACTGAGTGGAGGAGGGAGTGACCCCTGCTGCTGCACTGTGCCACGCACCCGTAAGCTACTGGGCCCCTCCCTTCCATAAGATGGTTGAAGTGGCTGCCGCAGGACCCCCCCAAAGTGTAGGGTCCTCAGACAGCTGCTGCTAATTGTCCGGTGGATGGAACACCTCTGGAGATACTTTGTCATCACCTGCCCTAAGTGTGAAACGGTCTACCATAAGTCAGCTTCCTGAAAGCCACAGCTTCTGGCCCCACAATGATTGATTTCCCACAGTCTCCACCTTCTGTGCGCAGACTTTGGCTAACCTCTCCACCCCATCTTCCAAGTGCTCCCTTCAATATCTAGTTCCCATCACTGGACACTCACAATAATTACCAAACAAGTTGTCCTCAGAGAAACAGTGTACACTTAGCTTGGCTGGAACATCTCAGGATGTTATCCTTTCATAACACCACAGCACTAATCTACTTGTGTGTTTATTAACAAAGATTTAAGAGATGCTGAGAAAGTTTCCACTCATTATCCTAACTGGAATCTTAAAATCTGCACTGATTCAGAGTTACCTTTCTTGTTCCATAAAGTCGATCTTCTTCCCAGGATTCAGTTATGAGCACGCCACTGGTGTTTGGTCAAAACCAGTATCCAAGGTTTCTTGACTCTCCCCTCCCCTCCCCCTGCTGCCACCTTACAATGAGTTTCCTCAGGAAGGGGGAATATCAAAATGGCTTTTCGCTTCTCCTTTTATTTCCTGTACACATTGTATTGACCCAGTCAGGATTCCCCCCCTCCCCTCCCTTTTGTGCTGCCTGTAATTTGTCTTCACATCCTTGCGCTGACTTGAAATGCAAATGTAACTTCCATTGTATTTAGCTTACATGGCTTACTCTGCACATGAACCTAGGCAGATCTGTGAGCATGTGTCTCTTTGGCAAAACTAGTTCTTCATTTATACTGGGGAATACCACCATGATACAAGTTACAAATATATAGTTTCAATATAATACAGTACGTAGCTGATTATATGTTACTGTCACAACATTATTAATGATCAGTATGAGTGGCTTTTATTTAAGATCTCAAAATATTCTTTACCGATTATTATTATGATAGCAAACATTTGAGGTGAGTTTATCAGGCCTAGCTGGAGTTGCTGTTACAGAATAGCTCTTAAGGTCAGATTTTTACTTCTCCATTTCTCATCCTCTCTGTTTTCATTTGTTGTTTTCATTTTGTAATTCTCCTTTAACTGCAAATCATTTCGGAAATCACTTCCATGAAAGACAGTGAAATAAAGTGTTTCATTGCACCAATTTTAGAGGGGTAAGCGAACACAGAAAAGTTGTGACTTTTTTCCTAGGTCATGGGGGGAAAAAGTAAAGGTATGGAAAGGTGAAGAGAGGTTGTCTTACCTCAGTAGTTGGCACTGTTGCAACCACTGCTGGAATACTGACTCCACTTCTAGAGTCCACAATTCAAAAAGCATGTTGATCAATTAGTAGAGAGGGTTTAGAGAAGAGTTGGCTGGCAGTTGAAGCTAGACAAATTCAGACTGGAAGTAAGACATACATTTTTAAGTGAGGGTAGTTAGCCATTGGAACAGTTTACCGCATTTTCAATCAGCAGCCATTATAAAGTCAAGATTAGTTTTTTTTTCCCCCCTAGAAGATAAGCTCTAGGAATTATTTGAAGGAAGCTTTCTGATCTGTGTTATTTCATTTTCATTTTTAGTGCATTTTAGTTGTTACACAGAGGTGACTAAAAACGGACAAGCAGCAATGGGCTTAAATTGCAGCAAGGGGGGTTCAGGTTGGATATTAGATAAAGTTTCCTAATTCTCAGGATAGCTAAGCACTGGAACAAATTGCCTAGGGAGGCTGTAGAATCTCCATCATTGGAGGTTTTCAGGAACAAGTTAGACATACACCTGTCAGGAATGGTCTAGTTATTACTTGCCTTGAGTGCAGTAGACTGGCCTAGATGATTTGTTGAGGTCCCTTCCAGTTCTATACTTTTATGATGCTACATCCTCTTATAGACAGTTAAATTTACAGTAATACTTTCCTAGTAATACTTTTCCATGTAAGTAGTTGCTGCAAGGATATTTTGTGAATGGGAGGGAAGGTTTCCATATTCTGGATAAAGTGTAAGAGCCTCTACTATTAGACAAAATTCAGAGAGATGTAAATATAAACACCATTTCAGATTAAACATGGCACTGCATGTTTTTAGAAGGTACGCTGTGAATGACTGTGGGCTATGTATCTTCCTTCCCAATGCATGCCTTTAGTTAACTCAATTCATTGTTTGCATTCTGTAGGGCAGGAGGAAGGACCATTTACATTTCCTAATGGAGAAGTGGTTGAACACAATGAAGAGAGCAAGGACCGAACAATTATGCTTATGGGTGTCTCAACCCAAAAAATCTCAGTGAGAGTGAAGCCAGCTGTTGTTGACATGAGCACACAGACAGAGCTCTCACTGGCAAATAGTGATGTGCCCAGTGGGCTGAGGGAGAAGGAACATGGGATGCCATCAGAAAATATTTATCTACAGCCTGCCCCACCGTCTCCATGGCCAAGCCCAGTTCTATACCGCAAGAAGGCATATGTAAAATGGGAAAACAAAGACTCGAGTCAGAAACAAAAGAATGAGCATCGCATGCATAAACCCTCGTACCAGGAACTGGAGCAGGTACTTACACAATGGACCAAATTCTCCTTCACACTACTAGGGTCTTAACATTGGTTTAACAATCTACTGTCATTTCAAGGTCTCTTTGCCCTGCCAAGGTAACAGAGTACTGGAACAATTAAATAAGGGATATTTGTAGAATTTCCATCCCTTAAACTTTAAATAAAGATTGGCTGTATTTCTTAAAAAAAAAAGAAAGTTCTACTCAAGCATAAAACTATTGAGATTGATGCAGAAATTACTAGGCCTTTGTTATACAGGAGAACAGACTAAATGATTGCAGTGATGCCTCCCAGCCTTAAAATCCATAGAAGAAATCCTGGCCTCATTGAAGTCACTGGATCCAGGATTTTACACCATAAATCTAATTATCGATTTTAGGCACTGGGCAGTAGTTTGTAACCTAGTTTCCATAGTGAATATGTTGCCATTAAACTGTAAGCCAATATGTTAATGCCAGGTTAGCCTTGCCTTGCCAGAAGCACTAACAGACCATACAGTAAGACAGACCTAAAAATCTAACTAGAATTACTAAATATTATAGTTTCTTTTTTTCTTAAAAAGAAATCTATGGGAGGATAAAAAATTCCCCCAAAAAAATTTCGAATGCAATTTCAAGGTGGTACAGTTAATCACAAAAACTCAAGAAATTAAGCTAAAACTTCCTTAAATAAGCTTGCCTCTGCTGAACAGAATTTAGCATTCTAGTCCCATTTTTTAAATTTAAAATGAACAAGCAAGTGTGTACAAATTGCCTATAAATTGTGATAACACCATAACATTGATTGGCAGAGCAATGGGGCCAGGTTCACTTTGCTGTTGAATATTAGTTTCCTGACTCTGATTTTTACTCGGTAGAAGTTGCATTTAACACCTAGAAAAGTCTATATGAATGATCAAGCAGACAAAGAAATGAGAACAAGAGGCTGGAACCAATGAAACAAGTGAATATACAGAGAGAAAAACATTCAGTGTATGGGTTAGTCAGCCATGGAGAAAAAACAAAAAGGCTAATAGAAATGAAAAGTTGAGGAGAAAATGACAGGGGAATGATTGTGAGGGCAAAAATAAATTTAAAAAAATACCCCAAAGAAATGTAAATAGGAGAAAAGAACAATAGGAGAAAAGAAGAGCAGGAATTCATGACATGGAGGGCGCAGATAACACCCAAGAATAAAGCCAGAAGAGAAAAAATAGGGATGTTAAATTTTGATTAATCAGTAATTGAGTAGTTGATGGAAATTCCATCAACTACTCGATGAGTCAATAAGGTGGGAAAGGTCGCTCGCTATCCCCGTTGCGCCTCTCTGCCTTTGAAATGTAGGAAGAGCCGCCTGTGACTCGCATTTCAAAGGCAGAGGCACAGCGAGTAACCCAGCACAAGCGGGGACTGCTTCCAGATGCCGCACCTCTGCTTTTTAAGTGGAGTAAGAGCTGCCAGGCTCATACTGCATTTAAAAAGCAGAGGCGCAGCGTCTGGGACCAGGCACGAGCCAGGACAACTGAGTCCTGGCTCACGGCTGGTCCCCTGCTGCACCTTGGCTTCCCCTAGTCCCTGCGGAGATGGTGCTCCCCCAGCACCGGCTCCTGCTCCCCTCTTGCTGCCCGTGATAGAGGCAGCAAGTGGGGGGAAGCAACTAGTCTAGTAGTGACTTGACTACCTTATAAGCATATGCTTATTGGGTGATCAGCTAGTCGCTTTCCCTAAGAAAGATATGAGGACTAATGAAAGAGAGAAACAGCACTTTACAGAAATTAAAAAACATTCAGATATGGACAAACGGGATAATCAGCAATGAGGAACTGTAAAATCTATTTACAATGTTAACTGTAAAATAGCTATACCTAGAAGCCCAAATCTAGATTGCTCTAAGCACTGTGCAAAACACATAGAAAGAAACAGTTCTTCAAATCCTTGTCTGTGAGGATCCTGCTGTTATTGATGCACATTATGTTCCATGCACATGAGTTTTGAACTTTCTTCTAAGCTGTGTCCATTGGGGCCATACCTGTGCCCAGTATGTGCTTGTGCTCATACAATCATAAGGCATAAATGGCCACATGAACTTGCTATGGTCAGTAAGGTGGGAACTGTGGTCCTCCTTTCATTTGCAACTAGTCTGATAGGTTTTTGTTAATCTAAATCTATACATGCAGTTATTATTAGATAGTAGTTTTTCTATCCATTTGTCAGCTTTCCATTCTCCTTTTGTCCCAGGGAACTTTCTTAGGTGTTTGTGCCTTCTCACCTCTATGATTGACTCCAAACCCTTGCAGATCAAGTTCTGCCCTTCCTGCAACAGGCTGATTTCCCCCACTCTCCCTCTGCTTAGCTGACAATCCACAGCAGATGTCTTGTTTGCTGGGGGAACTATATATTCTCAATTATTGTTCAAGCTGTGTCCTTGTCTACCTAGACTAGAAAACTGAAGGAAACTCACCTAAAATGGTCATTGTTGTAAGTCCATAAGGAGTACCACAGATTCTGAGAGCTCTTCCTGGGACCCCACACAATGTTCTCAGAGCCAGAGATTGCACTCCTACAGTGCTTTGGAGGCTGTACCCCAAGCTTCAGCTCCTCACACCAAGAAAAAGCATCTGTGCTATCCTTGGGATGTCGGCCTGGGACTGCACACAGCTTCAGTTCAGGAACCACATGCTGACATACCCAGGCATGACAGAGTCAAGACATGACCCAGGGCCAAAGGACACTGCCATTCTCCTTCCATGGAATGGAATAAAGCAAAGGTGTCAGAGGAGCCCGGAGCCCTGTGACTCTGATAACTAAGGCCAGTGCATAGATCAGCTCAAGAAAGTGACCTTGACTAGCTTGCCATCTCCCTCTGAAAAAGGGAGGGCTTCTTCAGCTCCAGAACTGGAGCCTGACTCACCAACAATAGAACTCTCTCTAATGTAGGAGTCTCTCTAAATACCAACAGACCCTTTACTCTCCAGCACAAGCTTCACATAGCCTCCATCCTGTTACCTGCCCTCTGGGAACCAGCCAGTACACACATTTATGAGATAGGGATACCACCCCCATTTTCCTGAAGGAAAGGCACCTCCCTCATTAGAGTTGAAAGACTTTATGGATTGCTACTCCTCCTTAGGCTGTCTACACTTCCTGGCTTTCTAGGGCACAATGGGGGTCCAGCCTCCTCTACCTCTAGGTCCCACACTCCTGTACATTCAGCTACAGCGACCAGGATCAACTTCCATGCAACGGTCAGTGTGTCCCACACACTAAAGATATGTCAGCACATACGGCAGCATGGAGAGTACAAGACAAGCACACATTCACCCGTGAGCCATAGCATAGAGAAGCAGAGTGCTCTACATGCTGGAACCCCTCTGGAGAGGCTCTCTACATTCAAGCATTTCTTCCTAATATAGCATCCTGCTATCTCATCAACTTCCATGCAACGGTCAGTGTGTCCCACACACTAAAGATATGTCAGCACATACGGCAGCATGGAGAGTACAAGACAAGCACACATTCACCCGTGAGCCATAGCATAGAGAAGCAGAGTGCTCTACATGCTGGAACCCCTCTGGAGAGGCTCTCTACATTCAAGCATTTCTTCCTAATATAGCATCCTGCTATCTCCCAA